ATCAATCTGTAGATTCTTTCTTTATATTTTTATATTGTGTGAATTATCATACACGAAGATGTTTATCATGAAAATGCAGATAAGTAAGTGTTAACTTCCACACTTTTGCTTTCAATATTTCGCCTACAAAAAGCTCCGAAGAATCCTTGTATTCATTTTTCCCCATTTTGTTATGCAACACGAATCTCGGCCAATCAAGACTCACTAATCATATCATGAGACAAGTCGAGACGGAAGGACTAGATGAAATCAAAATATTGAACTTCCAAGAGGAACAGTAAATTAAAAAATTTATTCCAGTAATCCGAAGTTCATTGARATTTCTTTTCATTGTTTTTTTTTCCCAAATTGATGTTGAATCTCACGAAAAGACGAATTAGTTTGCAAATTAATTACGGAGAGACACTAAATAAAACGCTTCAAAGGCAATAATGAGATTTACTTTGATGCAGACTAGAAATTCCAAGTTTGCAATATGAATATAGCGGTATTTAAATGTTGTTTGACAAAACCATAAGTGAAATCCGGCGATTCTCTCGCCATAAGTACTGATACAAGCTGAGGTCAGACTGTGCCGTTTCTAACTGAAGTTCAACTTCACCGCAGAACTGTCTCGTTATTTCCGTCTCTGAATTAGTCTTAACAAAATAAAGTTGCGAGAATCGGATATAAGAATATGGTTATGTATTTTGTTTGTAGACAAAGTCCGGTGCTTTTTGGGCTATGCAAATGTCTTCAGCTTCAGCTCTGATTGGTCGTTGCCGGTGCAAGGTTTTTATGCCATGCCGAACAAATGGTGTTTGCTTTTTGAACTACCTCAACAAACAAACTCTCCATCATTATATATCACTAAGAAGATTGTCTTGAACCTTTAAGCTGGCTTATCGTAAATATGTCAACCGTTGGACAGTCAATTTACTTTGTGCTCGTGCGATYCTCACGGTGYTGAAAACGAACAATCCCGAATATGACAACGACAACAGTATACATCGAGCAATTAACGTTCAAGTTCAATCAGATAAGGCCACTCGATTGGCTTATTTCCCCGAGGTTTAGGCTTATGTTCACGTGACTGGAACTAATGGTCTTAATAGAATAACCTGCCAGTTGAGTGAACGTAATTACTGTAATCCCGTGTTGGTTCTAGCTTCCCAGTTTTATTATTTGATTGATAACTACTTCCCGGTAATTGAATGACCTCGATCGGGAATAACAAAGCTTGGAATAACAGCATTAGGAGTCATTATATGGCTCATCAAAAGCCCTTTCAACCATGATCATATCACTGGAACTCACAAACCAAATGAAGAAATGACTCATAAATGCTTAGAAAACAGTGCATTGCAGATCGAAATTACTGATAATATAATTTGCACGGGATCTTAAAGTGCGACCTGAAAGACCTGCTCTATTCCCGCCAGGTTATTTCCTCTACCCCAGCGAAGCTATCAAATCCTTATGAAGTCTTTATTGCATTTTGCATTTCGTTCATAACCATTTGACAGCGGGTGCTTTCTTTCATAAAGAAAGTCAAACCAATCAAAAGCCCGGAAGGCGACACCCAGATTACTCATAACGCCCTAAGAGCATTTCTCCTGGCTTTTCAATCTCTTCTYACAAAAAACTCCAACTCTTGTAGAACTATTTGAAATTATTTGCAGTGAATTTCCCTGTACTTCAGAACGTTGACATTTTSGAATGGCAAAAGGACAAGAAAACCTACAAACACCCACGAGTAGTGYGATTTATGGACTAGATTCGCAAGGAAAACAAACAAATCTCAAATCATTATGATGAAATCGCGCAACAGCAACAAAACGAACCTCACGCTCATGAAAAATATCTGAATCTTTCTTGAGAGTTAAATATAAAACGCGATCCCAACTTCTTTAAAGTCGTGTGCGGCACGTTAAAAAATGTCAGGGTCAAAAAATAATTTCATTACAGCGATGTAGTTTTTCTATAAAAAAAAGGTTTGATATTACATTAAAATGGCACTTGAAAATCGACTGCAATATCAATTAAGCATAAGCTCTTCAGAATCGATCATTCTGTAATTAAATGGAGTTACTGGAGATTTCGAGATGAACTTACTATGCTACTAAGAAAACGCTTCAAGGAAACCCTTTGTTTTTTGTTTGCAGTACAAAAATCGCTGATCCAAAAACAAAAGSGATGATTAATACATGAACAAAAACAGCAAGAGAATTTAGAAGAACTACGTGCAAACACTGAACTCCCCTAAAATTCCATGATAATGTTCTTTTCGTGAAGCTGAAATTTATTTAGCTAAAGTCCGGATCTTTAGTGTTCACATATATACATATATACATACTGTAGTGCAGATCTTGTCGCTGCAGTCGTTGATACCAGAACCCAAATTRTCAAAAAACACTGTACGCCAGACAAACAGACCCGTCATCACCAGAGCGATTACAACAAAGAACACCAGGAATACCGTCATTTGCCGCATCTTACGGGTGTGCCAAGTGACCATTGTGCTTTCGTCCACCTCGTCTGGAAGAAACCCGACCTTGCTGATACTGTTCGAAATGTGGGTTGGTGACGTCACGCTCGTATTGTTTGCCTCGCGTATTTGCATATTTGAGGGGAAGGATTTTGGAGTTCCGGGAGAATGGGCCGGAATGTCGGTGACGTCACTTCCTTCATTTACATAGGCTTCATTTACGTTGGCTTTCATTGTGCAACACCTGAAAACAAAAAATGATCAGGTGAACGGCACCTACGAGGCAATTCGGTTAACAGCCACTCTCGG